TAGATTCTGTCAACAGTGAGAGTCACTGTCACTCCCACACTCACACCCTCACACCCACCCACATCAACACCCACCCCACACCCCACAACTGCACCCACACACATTCACACCCGATAAGGACAGAACAGTTTTGTTCGGGCCATATGAAAGAGAGGCCCTACAAGCCCCATAAGCGCCCCGAGCAACACTATGTTTTGTCTTTATAATAGTTGAGAAAACCTTACCTGATTCATTTTTATACCTAAACTTAAATTCTAAATATCTCCCTCTAGGCAAGCCAAGGGCCGGTAATATTTTAACCTTGTTAGTTTAGTGGTGAGAGCTTTCATTTGACCCGATTATGTCCTATCTTTTTGATTATCAACACAAACACCTCCATTGTTAGTGTAATAGAAAACGGTAAGTATTTTATTCAAATAAATAAATTAAGTTCTTTTGTTTAGGTTGATCTCATTGATATGTTCAAAGGTAAATATTTTGCTTATATATATTTATTTTTTTAAGATTTTTTTCATTAAAATATTCAACAGTAAGTATTCTATTCAAGTGAATATATTTGTTTATTTTGTTTAGGTTTATTTCAATTACGTATTTCACAGTAAGTATTTTATTTAAGTAAATTTTTCATTTTTATTTAGATTGATCTCATTAATATATTCAATGGTAAGTATTTTCTTTAAATAAGTATTTTTTTTCATTTAGATTTCTCTGATTGAAATATTTAAGAGTAAGTATTTTATTTAAAAAAATATATTCATTCTTTTCATTTAGATTTATCTCAATGAAATATACATTAGGAAACATTTTATTTAAACAAATAAATATTGTTTCTTGTGTTTACCGAAGATGAGGAGGGGACGAAATATAGTGCTTCTCTTCACTGAGGAAAGACGGCAAAAGATAAATAAAGTTGTAAACGAGAGAAACCGGTGTAAATAAGAGACTATAATGGCGAGAATACTGCTATAATACTACTCATCGTTGCTCGCCGGAAACAGCCTTAAATGGCATCGTTTATGTTTAGAAGAAAAACGGTCCGTAATCCGAGCTGACGGAAAACGATCAAAAGAAGGTGAAAAACGGCTGTCGTTTTTCATCGTTTATGGCAGTAATAACACCGTTTTAGGCGGTTTAAGATGCCATTTCATATGATGGGGATGATCGACCTGGGAAGTCGACCATCCAAAAGTCGACCGTCCAAAAGTCGTCCGTCAAAGGATTAATCAAACAGAAACCAGTGCCATCAAGAAAAATCAGAAAGATTTGAAAATCGATACAATAAGAAAACACTATTTTGTCGTTAGTACGATAGATCCTATGAGAAAGAGCTGAAAATAATTGTTTTTCTTTGCTTAAACTGATGCTTTTGATTAAATCGATTTTTTTATTAAATTAATTTTTTTGATTTAAAACTGATTAAAATCAGCACTTTCTCCCTTGTGTTTAGATGATGTCATCAACACTTTCAAAGAGGTAAGCTACTCTGCCTAAAAATTTTTTCCTTTTCTGTTTGGTAGAAGCCACCAGGGAAATTAGCGTTGCTACCTCGTTCTTTTTTCCTAGAAGCGCTTTTTTTCTCTGAAGCATCAAGAGAAAATAGCTCGTCCGTCTAAGAAAAAGAAAATTGTTGGAGTAGTCATATTCTATACTTTGCTCGAGACGTTCCGTTGCTAAAACAGCGCTTCAGCGTTTTCTTTTTAACGCAAATAGCGTCGCGCTGTAAAAGAAAGTCGCGAGAAAATTAGTAGTGCCAGATATAATAAATACTTACCGAAGGTAAGACAAAAAATGTCAACAAAAACGAAGACACATATCTTCATCTCATGTGCACAAGCTGAGCAGTCCCTTGTTATGCGGGTTGTCGATCAATTGAAACTACATGATATTCCAGTGCGAATGAATATGCAGAACTCTTGCGTCTCTATGTCCTGGAACGCGTAAGTAGAAAAGGCGTTCAACGTACAAATAGCAATATCTTCAATTTTCCTCTAGAGTCAAGACTACAATTCGGAACAGTGTGGCCATGTGTTTTTTCATGTCATCTCATTACGATATGTCGAAATACTGCAAAGAAGAGTTACAATACGCAGCGAAGAAAAGAATCGCACTTATTCCATGTCGTCTGAGCATTGACACACCCGGATGGATACCTATTCTTGTCTCAAGTCAACCCTCTTTCGATTTCAGTGATCACACGAACGAATATTTCGAGTATCAAGTGAAAAAACTTGCTCGTCATCTCCGAAAGAATTATCTTTCTGATCTGGAAACAAGTGACAATTTATCGTCGAATCAACACATCTCAGCTGCAGGTGAACTTTCTATAATTTCCAATAGCTTTCGTGATCAAATGGTCAGTTATTCGGTCTTGAAAAAGTCCAAATTGGCTTTTTACTACAGCTTTTTAACAATATCTCTCAACAAATTTCTTGACAATTTTGATAATAAGTGTAAATCCTAGACGGAAATTAATAGGATATAGTCCATTTTCTGCTGAAAACTCTTCTTGAAAGTAGTGCGATTCACTCTAGAAACGTTGTACCTGTATAAACAAAAGCATTTCTGAGAAACGTTCACGAGAGAATCAATAAAATATATTCTAGATGATGTTTCACACAACGATTTCCTTTTTTATAAATTGAGTTCGTAAAAAAACCAGTTGACATCGATAATGAAAGATGAGAAAATTATTTTTTATATTTGTAGAGCATGTCAATGAGAAAAGCACATTTACTGCCCTGGAACGTGAGTTGGCTCTAGCTTTGGAGGTGCCATCAGTAGAACCATCCACTACTAACTATAGGTTCTCCTCTCGCCGTCACATAATGCTGTCATATACGCACAAAATTGGAAAAAATTTTGTTGCTGAAGTGTACGAACAGTTAAAAAGAGCAGATATTCCTGTGTGGATGGATATCAAGAATGGGCTTGGTTCTAATGTTAATGATGGGTAAGTCGAAAATTGGCTTTATTATTCGGAAGTATCTGGATTCATATGTTATATGATAGTTTTCAACCACATATGAGTTTCAGTTTTTGAGGAATTCTACCACTATTTTCGTCATTGACGTAATAGGTCACTTTTTGTCGTTGTAACATCAGTGTTGATCGTCGGTGTAAGTCATTAGCAGATAGAATTTGTTGATTCTAATTAGTGATAAAACCTCTAATCGATAAATTCCGACCCTATGTAAATCAAACAAAGGACTGCCGTTTGCTCGCTTAGATAGGATTCTGCATTGATATCGTAGGCTTAAACAAACCACAAAAACAGATTTAAGTCGATTCATTTTTATTTCTTCCAGTGGCGATGCAATTTAGTTAAACTATTTCCTCCACCAAATCTATTTGGTTCTAAGTCAGTCATTTCGCTCTAATATCTGTCAAAAAAGTGATTATTAATCATAAAAAAATAATGACGTTCTATTTATTGGATAGGAGCATCATCAAGGTAAATTTGTATTTACAAACAAAGAGAAATCTCTGTCTATATAGTGCTCACTTCGATATATGCAGAATTAAGTAAGTATCGAATTGATGGAATGAAGTAACCATCGAAGTAATAAGAAACTTGTAGAGAGAAAAATGGATGACAACTGCTACTTGTACTTTGGCGACGAATGAAGGAAAACTTTACCGTTAAGTATTGATAAGTTCAGGTTGGCACATCGTTTATTGACAACCCATCTAGTAGCCTTCTATTGATATTTCTTTCTCGGTATGCTAAATGCGCTTAAAAATATTATTCTTCACCGATCTAAGTCAGAAATACAGCATGGTACTAATGCTGTTTCCAGCAGTAGAGTTGATCTATGTAGCGACAGTTAACGCATAATTGCATACTGAGTATTGACTAACTTCATCCAACAATTGTTTCAATTTTTTTAAATTCTTGTCCAACAAGCATATCTTTAATAGTCTTAATCGTGTAGCTTCTAATCATTGCTGAGTGGATGGAGACTAGTGAGAATGACAATCTCCTTTTCATTCTCGCTCCCATATAACGTAATAGACGATTATATGCAAAGCCAGCTCGGACTCTGTGATCTAATTAGCGCATTCAATGAATAAACTCAGAGAAGACAAGAAATTATAAACAGTGCTGATTCTCACAGGTGAATTGCCGATTTCCTAAATATTAGAACTCTTGGAAGACGACATTTTTGGAGGAAACTAACTGAAAGACTTTGATGCGCATATGAAAAATTAGTGGAAAGATGTGAACGAATCGGAGAAAAGCGTGTAATGAGATGAGCTATTTCCGATGTGGTGTACTTTTGGAGTATTTTGACAAGTGTAGATGCTAGTTGAAAGCAAACGAACGTCAGTTACATATTCTCATTTAGAATGGCTGCCGCAGTGGAAAACTCAAAAGCAGTCTGCTTTTTCTTGTCAAAAGATTATCAAGATTCACGAGCATGTAAAAAGGAATTACAGTACGCCGATGAACTCGAAAAACCTCTCATTCCGTGCCGACTTCTTCGCGATTGGAAACCGAGTGGATGGCTTGGCCTGATAAATACTGGTCTTAAATGGTATGATTTTCGCGATTTTGATGATAATACAAAAAAACAGAAGATTCAATCATCGACCGAAGAATTAATTCGGTTCATTCAAGTCGCTTTTTTTAGCTCAAAAGACGAAATCGACTCGATAAATAGTCATCGTTTGGTTAAAGATCATCCTACGACATCTGCATCGTTGCGTAACTCTCTGCATGAACGTTTACATGATCAGTCTTCTGGAAGGAATGAACGTCAACGAAGTTCAACCGTTATAAGAAATCCTGTTTCTCACTTAGAATGGTATGATGGTCCATCACGAGATGTTCTTGACGCCTTGCCATTCGCTAAATATGCTCAATTCCCGCTTTTATCGCTTGAAGAAGCGATTAAATCTCTTGATCCATTCATACCGGATATTCAGAACCGAGCACTTATTGCCAAACAACATGCTAATTTGTATCCTAACAAACGAGTATTGACGAAAGATGAAGCGGCTGCCATCATTCTTTACACGATGGGTGAAGGAGAAGAAAACCTTTGCAGATATCTCAACCGAGTTGTAAGATCTCAAAATCGTAAGGCTGTGAAGCCTTGGTTTCCCTTCTTCAAACTGTTTCTTACCGCCTTGTTTAAGCTTTCAAAAGATCGGACACTCACTCCCGTTTATCGCGCTGTCCAGACTGATTTAAGCTGTAATTACGAAGTCGGAGAACGAATTACGTGGTGGGGCGTCATTCCATGTACACGATCTCTCGCTGTTTTGCACAAGTGTCTCGGTGACGATGGCACGAGAACTGTTTTCCAAATTCAGACCGAAAATTCTAAGTCAGTGAGCGCTTACTCGATCTATCGAAGTGCAGATCAGGAGCAAGTTTTTCTTCCACCTGGTTGTTACTTGCAAGTGGTCAACAAATCGAAAGCACCGTCAGGATTAATTATTATTGATCTGAAGGAAACTGAGCCACCATTTCCATTTATTGATTCACCCTTGGAACTGTTTTGTTCTTATGGATGTCCTCCAGTCATGTATCATAACCATTCTTGTGCAGCCTGGATTCCATTGTCAATGCGGAGAGCAAAAACTATACGAGAACGAAAGAAACATAAGAAAAAATAGCATATCAAGATAAATTTCTTGATCATGAAGATCTATGTAGTATTTTGCTTGTGGGTATGGGTGTGGGTGTAAGTTTGGGTGGGGGTTGTGAGGTGTGGGTGTGGGTGGGATGTGGATGTGGATGGTGTGGGTGTGGGTGGGATGTGAATGGTGCAGGTGTGGATGAAAAGACCACGCTAACGCCCACACCCACGCCCACACCTACACCCACACCCACACCCACACCCACACCCACACCCACACCCACACCCCACACCCAAGACTTAGAAGAATCTTTTCTTAATCAACATCTTCTCTAAAACGGATTTTCAAAACCGATTTTTCAAAGGATCTCTAAAAAACGATGCTGAATTTTGGAAAATCGCTAAGTAACTCTAATGATTATTTTATATATTCGTAATTAGCATCAAAAACTGAGTCGATTCATGTGCATTTCGAACGGATTTGTGAACATTTTTTTCGTCGAAAACGTCTGCCCCAGGGGTAGCTCAAGAACTGAAATCAGTCGAGAAATCATTTCAGTAGTTTAAAAGAACTTCAAAGTTCGTAAAATGATGTTAGAACGCAAATTGACGAATAATTAAACAATAAAAACGACACATTCACTAATTTCACTTTTTAAGACACGTCTTGGGCTCAAGTTTTCGATGAAAAAAAAAGTTCACAAATCCATTTGAAAACTACATGAATCGACTTAGTTTTTGATGCTGATTACGAATATGTAAAATAATCATTAGAGTTACTTAGCGAGGGTGTCGGTGTGGGTGCCGGTGTGAGTAGGAATCTTCTTTTGGTGATACTCACCCACACCCACATTCCAACTGAGAAAATCATTTTATTTCTTTCATAATTAGTTTATTTTCTATCAAATAAAATTCAGCAAAAGAAAATTATATGACGATAGTAAAATTAAAAAAAGACAAATTTATCAGAAAGTATCTAGTTTATTTCACTAGAAACTGTTACTTTCAATATTCAACACATATTTATTTAGTTTTGGTTGAAAATTATGACTGTGAACAAAGTAGAAGTGAAATGATATAAGATTTAAACTTAAATATTTAGTGTGTTTTTATTTGTTGCGCGTATAATCAAATGAGAGTTACATAGGAAAAGAAAATTCTAAGGAAATTTCCAAATCTTAATGGATGGAGTCTATCATTTATAGTTCTTTTTTATTTTGATGATGAAAATGTATATCAGGAACTTTGCTTTTTGGATAAGTCACATCGATAATTGGTAGATTATTTTTCTCACCATAATCAATATATTTTTGTAATATTGATCTCCAGTCTTCGATGCCAAGGGTATTACCGAGTTCACCTAAAAATTCTATTGCACCCCAAATAAAAGATAATGCTTCAGTTTCTCCATGATCAGCATCAGTATAAAAAGTATGCACAGATCCAGGAGTTTCATGAACAAGATCACCTTGTTTAGAAACCCATTCAGGATGTTCTAGATTACCCCAAGCACCTTTTAGTGTATAGCCGTATGCTTGACCATAATGACGATGTGTACCTATCACAACTCCAGCTTTTGCTTTCAACACACTTATCCATAAACCCTCATGAGGATCAACTCGTAACAATTTGATTTTAATGTTATATCTTGGATCACCATATGGAAAAAAATATATGCTACTTCCATTGACATATGTTGGACCATTGGCTAATAGAAAGTCATAGTTCGTCCCATATGAAATACTGATGAATAAAAAAATAAAAATAATATAGAACATTTTCATTCGTTTAAAATGCACAAATTTTTCTTATTTCTTACGATGATTCTTTTCAGCTAGAGATATTTTATGAAATACTCTCTTCTGGCGTACTACATAATCTAAGAATAAATAGAGTCGAATGTCGATATATATTCAGAGAGCATTCGCTAAGAACAAACTAAAAAAAAGGAGAAAATAAGAAATAACTCATGACAAGATTTATCAGTTATTTACTCTTATGTAGGCCAACTGTCAATGGTAAATTACCATCTTATCATCGAAGTTTAGCTAAATGCATAATATTCTTTAGACATGTCATTCAGTACATAAAAGTTTCTTTTTTTAAACATCGTTTGTCGCATGAATACGCAAAAGAAACAGAAAAAGTCGAGCAAGTGATAACACTAAAGATATCTAACAAATATAGATACAATTAAAGAACGCATAAGCTCTATTCAGTCATATCATAAGTCGATATATTGTCGTAAATTTTTAAAGAAATGGATTCTATAAAAAGACTATTCTGGAAGATGATGAATTCACAATGGTCGATCTGGTAGAAACGGCAATAATACTTAGATTGAAACACATGAGCGTATGATGACATACATCGGACCTGTTACAGATTTTTCTTTTTCTATGATGAATAACTGTAAAGTAAACCGCTTCTGGTCATGTTTATAGTCAGATATGATTCTCTAGTAATTTCTTTGTTTGATACTAACTTGTGCATTTTTCATATATGTCAAACCTGAAATTTGAATTCAATTATTGAAAATATACTTCATCTACTCAACTATCCAACTATTCAATTATTCAATTTTCGTGGCGAAAGAAGCCTCTCGGAACATGATTTACATATTATCACACGCACACAAAGCATCTGGGTGTCGGTGAGACGCAATGAGTCTCCTAGAAGACAACATTCATATGATTACATGCACACAAATGATAAATAGCTGAAGTATATTTTCAATAATTGAATTCAAGTTGTAGGTTTGACACCACTGTTTCCCTTAAGGCACTTACGTTAAAAAGTGAATGTTACCAAGAATTGATTTCCACAATTGTAGACGAGCTCTAAAATGAAAATACAATAAAAATGGGCAGTATTTAGAAGACTAAAGTATCGCTTTCATGAATTTCATTCTTTGACGTACCTGTCTTGAAGGAGGAGTACGGAAAAATCTTTTGATGAGAAAAAAACATGTCCAAAGTTTTCGAAATATTCATAGACTAGCACCATTTTTAATGCTGATTCAAAATATACTATTTCTTTTGATTCAATCTTCACTCTTCTCATCGAGATCTGATAAATTAAAGACAAAATAGTGATTTAAATCGTGGACCACCTAGGTATTTTTAATTACAATTACATTTGCTTTATAATGAAAAGCATTCTGAACATGAATTCTCTGGTACTCAAGCACTTCTATCATCATTATGTCTCGAAAAAAGAATCTTTTATTCCTTTATTTTATCTTTATTTTCTAAAAATAAAGAACTCCTTTGCCTTTATTTTATAAAGTAAAAGTAATGTGCCACCCGTATGTGGATGTAAGTATGGTTGTAGATGTCTATCTTCATTTGACTTACATCCACAATTATAGCCAAACATACATACAGTGACATCGATATACCGACGCTATAATTGTGGATGTAAGTCAAATGAA